AACGCAGGAGGTGGAGAGAGAGGTGACGGGTGTTGGGTGACGGAGTCGGGTGGGCGGGACGGGAGGGTGGAAGAAGGGTGGTGGCAATGGGATCTGAGACACGGGCGGACGACGGAATATAGGGGGACGGAGTCGGGTGTCGGACAGGGAAGACACTCAGGTGACAGGGTGAGGCTACGGAGCGGGACGACGAGGCAGGGCGGGGGGGGGATCATGAGGGTGCGTGGCCGACGGTGGGAAACAGGGGTGTGGGTAATGGCATGGTGACTTGCAAGTGACGATCTGGTGGTGCAGCGGGAAGGGCAGGGGAAAGGGCCGTGAGGAACAGAGAACAAGACCTGGATGACACGGGCGTGGGAGCCCAAGGGATGGGGTGGCAGCGAGGTGCAGGACGGCGTCCCCTCTCCCGCCCGCTCGCCTGCGGCGCAGCAATATTTACTGACAGCCATTGTGAGCGCGTCGGTTGTGATCCGTGTCACGGAACAAAAACACTGGGGACGCCACTAAGCAAAGCATTCGCTTTTTAATATGAAAATATTGTGGGCGTAATCAAAGAAATATCGTGTTCGGTGCCCTGAGCTGGCGCGCCTATGTGCTTGCCACAATTTCGATGTAACGAGCTGTAAATAGAAGGCGGACCAAAGAACAACGTGGGTTCAAAGAGCGGGTTTGTGGTTCAAGAGATTTTCTAAGAGTGTCAATATGATCTGCCAAATTAGCGATTCCTGGAAGAAACAAAGTTACCATTGTAAAACAATATCTTGAATGGTTATATCATGCACATTTTAATGATACATAAGTTACGAGTGCACAATCTATAGACAAGGCGACAGTTTCGTCAGTCTTTCCATCAAATAAATTTTTAACTTAAAAGTGTACTTTCAATAAAATTGTAAAATTGTAAGTGGTTATTGTATACAGTATTTATAGGAATAGATCTTCCTTGTTATTTCTCTCTAGGAAATATACCAAAAAAAAGTTTTTCTTTCTTGCATTTTAAATACGTTGAAAAGAATCAACGTAGCAGCAAAAAAGTAATGATTTATTCAAAAAAAATATTATTATCTACCCAAGAATTATTACACAATTGGATGATTCTTTCTCCTACATGAAGTAAATTACTTCTTCTTATACATTGGTGCAGCCAGAATTCACGTTTTACGGATCCTTGATACCAAAAGATTTGTATACGTCAAATCATTTGCCTACCTGTAACCGACAAAACCATTAGCAGCATTTCATTTGGATATTCCCCAATCGATCTGGCTGATGTAGCGGTCTCTTGAATTTAAAAGAGATATTTTGATTTCTAGGAGTTCTTTAGATGAAGCCGAAGCATTTTCATTTTTTTCATTTAATGACTCCAAATTTCTTTATCTCGAATCGGCAAAGTACGCCGATAAAAATTCTATAGGACCAATTTTCGTTAATTTTTCTCAATTTGTCGGCTTCTTAGAACTACAATATTAAGATAAAGTTTAAGCGATAATAACATATTTGCTTCAAAAATAGATTTTTAAAATAAGGTCTTATGTGTTTTAAAAATGTGAGTACTTTTGCGTGAAATACAGGCAAATTTAGAAAAACGATTTTCACAAAAATAGCTCCTTGTTTTTCTTTAATTATGTTTTCTCAAATAGAGTAAAGTTTAGTTAATATTATAGCATTCGAGTATGTTCTATTATCATTAATCGCTTTGAAGTTTTGAAAATTGTAAAATATTATTTTCGGTGACTTCCTACAACTACAATATTGAAGACAGAGTTTTTGTTTGTGTATAAAATCTACTCTTCAAAATTAAATCTTTAAATAATATTGAATACAAATTTCTTGAAAATTTGAGTAGTTTTGAATTAATTTTGATATGACAGAGACGTTTAAAAATTATGTATTGATAATTTCTCAAATCATCAAACTTAAAATAATTTATTCAAACTCGTTTGTTATTTAATAAAACCTCTAAATATTAAAAAGTTGCAAATGCTCATCTTTCTTTTTAAAGCATCGAGAAGATTGTTACGCCGGCACAGGGGACTGAAGTAGCTTTTATGCTGAATGATTGCCAAACCTAAATATCCGAGTTCGATAACCTACGTACCCAAGTAGTCAAATATTTTGCGTGTTGTTCACACTGTTGCAATTTAAAGAAGTACTATTATAACACGTACGAATTACAAATAATGCGAAAATCTACCTGCTGTATCATCACTAGGTTCTCTAGTTCTCAATCTCTTTTTTTTTTGGCCCTCTCTCTTTCGTTCTTTCTATATTTGACACAAGACAAGTAGTGTTGTAAGAAGCCTATGAAACGTAATGTTTGTAATGAAATATATGTTTTAAATTTTTTTTAAATAATCATTTGTTTTATAAGTAAATAAATAAATAAATAAGAAAATATGGTTCAAATAAATACACTTTAATACTTCGGTTCTTGATATGACATATCCTTTTTTCTAAACCTTTGCTTTTAAGAAAATCGTAAAATAGACGAGGTTACGTGTCGATTATGTAGCCGTCTCGCAGACCAGACACAACTTTGATTCAATCAGTATGAACACAATATGCAAAGTCGAACAATTTCTCTTCTCGGTTCAATTGTGTGCTAAAATTCAAAAAGGATCGGATTACATGTTTGTTTTATCAATACATTATATTGTTTTGAAATCAACGTCAGAGATGGGTTCATTGTAAAGAAGAGATTATGTGATAATCAAAACCTTCAAGTTTGTAATGTATGTTTGTACGAACTCTTGTTTAAACACAAACATTTAATTTTTTATATTATTGTTGTACGATAATAATGTTAAAGTTAATGTTATGTTAATGTCACAATATTTTGATGGATGAATATGTAAAATAGAGGAGTGTAAATGGGATATTTTTAGAAAATTTACCACTAAAATGTTTTCAAGGCATCTATGCCATTAAACAATGCATACAATGGTACTTATTATTTAAATGCTAATTTCAAGTTATTGTTACTTCTTTAAAAGCTGGCTTCCAGTTTATTTTGTTGATTATTACTTTCTCTTTGTTTTCTTAATGAGTAGGTGCCACATAGTTCGTGATTTTGTTTCAAGTAACGGCAATGATCGAACAACAAATACATAACTGTTGTATTACTCTCCAGTTATCATCCTTCTCCCTAACCATCATTTAAGTTCCACGCTCGCTTAGTCACCTATCTATGGTTTCTTGCCTGCGACCTCTTTACCAATCACATCTCTACTCAAAACCTCGAGCTCCAAACGCCGATCCCCTGACCCATCGATCTCCCGACCCACTGATCTTCCAGACAACCAATCTGCAGGGTCATCGACCTGCCGGACCACCGGTCTACGGGACCACCGATTTCTCGACTGGCCGAGCTGATCTCTCGACTCACCATTCCACCGTTTCCCGATTATCAGACTCCCCGATTGTACTACTCGCCGATCTTCTGACCCATCTTCGGATCCAGTGATCTCCCGACCACCAATCTTTCCCACCAACCGGTATCCCGACCCTCCGATCCGATCTTCCAACTCATTGATACCCCGATTGCCGGATCCATGTCTCTCCAGCCTCCGGAACACTAATACCTTCTGTCCCCCCTCTTGCGCCGACCACGACAGAACACGTTTTGCAACCACCTGACCTCCCCACTCCGTTGAACGTCGTCGTTGATTAATTAAAAAGTGTTTCCGGTCGCGTCAACGGCTAGGAACATTAGTCCCGTAATATTATAAGTGAACTTCCTGCTGGAGAGATCAGGGGTCGACCTACGCTGGCTTGTGGGGATGTCCTCGACCAGGTATCTCCCACTATCGGGTTTCCGCTCCAGCTGGGACAAGCTCTAAGCTTTCGACAAGTCTGCCAACTACTGTGGTAGGGTAGTGCATATAAGAATAAGGAGGAGATGTGAATAGGACAAAGAAGAGGAAGAAAAGTGCGCGTGGTATGTGACCCGTTTATTAGGGTACTACGCCGGTATTCGCCTAGTGGGGATCGGAGAAACCGCGGAAAACTGCCGATTCGACCAGCCGGCTGCTGGAATTGCGACTGAAAATCGAAAATCCTGCTACCGCCGGACTCTAACCCTGGAGCCTTCCGGCCAGAGGCACTGCAGCCACATCAGTTGAGCCCGTCTTTGCCAGTTGGAATGCCATCGTGCAGCGTTTCAATTGCGCAAGGGGCGAACAGAGGGGCTCAGAGAAGCGATGGATTTCTTCGCCCTTTGCGCGCGTCGCGTATACGCGTTGCCATGACGAGGGACGGGGGGGGGGCTGGGATGAGCGTTCGCGCGAAATATGACTGGAGCGCGGAGATTTCCACGATGCATATGCAGATTTACAAAGGCCGTGCTTCAAAAGCGTCGCTTCGCCGGCCAATTTATGTGCTCTATCGAGTGACCCGGATGTGCGAAATCCCGTTTCACGCGGATATCGAGTCGCACGTTTTTATAGACGTCAAATGCTCTAGTCTCTTGGATGGGCTGGGCGAAGGTCTTCAATAGACTAGGTATGATAGATACGTACGTCATTTTGTTCACTTTAAGATTTCGCCGTTCAATAGAATTGTCCTTTCTTGTTAGTTAAAATTAGAGGACACGGCAATATTTCGCTATTTCAGCGTATTATATATCTCATATCGCTAAAGATACGTTCTCAATAGTGTGGGTTTATTCTATGTCCTTATTTGGATATAGTCGTAAATAGTTTGTTGTTAAAACGTTTTCCCTTAAGCTTGGGCATGCTTTCGCTGTGACGCTGTCTTGGAGAAATTTGATTTACCTGTCCGAGATAACGTTGAAGTAATAATATTCCGGTCGATATTTCACAATCGCACGGATAGAATACATTTATGCACAGACGGACGTGCTTTCCAGTTGCCCGTGCGGCAGGTTGCATAGATCTTCTGTTCAGGAGCTCATGACGCTGAGATGCCGAAGGCCACACTTGGTGCTATTGAATTGTTGTTGTGCGCTGTATCTAAGTGAGCGCGTGCATTGCGTGTTGCAGGCGGGATGATGCTGAAGGGCAACCCGTGGTCGTGCGACTGCGGGCTGGTGTGGCTGGGCCACTGGCTGCGGCGCTGGCTGCGCGAGACGCTGCAGATCCACACGGCGGTGCTGGAGGGCGCGCAGCAGATGCAGGCGCTGGCGCGCGAGGCGACGTGCGCGGACCCGCGCACGGGCCAGCAGACGCCGCTGCTCGACCTCTACCCGGAGGACCTGAGCTGCCACGCGAGCGCGCTCTCCCGCGGCGGCTCGCCCGCGCTCAGCGCCGTGTCGCGCGCGCACCTCGCCGCGCTGCTCGCGCTCTGCTGGGGCTGCTGGTGGCGGTGGAGCCTGTGGTGATGACCGGCCGCGCACGCCCCCGCCGTCTAATGCCCCGCCCCTCCCCCGCTCCCCCGCCCTCGACGGACGCTTTTTTTTCTCCGCCCGGAGGCGCGCTGGCCGAGGGGGCGTGGCTGCCGGCCCGAGGTTGAGCGGGCGCGCGTGGCTCCGAACTCTCTCTCTCTCCCCTCTCTCTCTCTGTCTCTCTCTCTTTCTCAAAGCGAGCGCGCGCTCGTGTGTGAGAGAGTGTGTGTGAGGTGTAGTTTAGACTTTTTTTTGCTGGTAGAGGTGCGTGGCCGGTCGGAGATAGATTCAGTGTGTGATAAAACGCAGCTTATTTTTTTGGTGCTTCAGGCCGGACCGAGTGACGTTCGTTTGTCGGCCGATTTTTAAACTTCCTCCCTCCCTTTCAAGAGACCTGTTATACGAGGCAAGATATAGATAGCAAAGAGAGACGTTTTCACTAATCGATGGCGTTTTGTTTGGATGGTGTTTTCGCCGCTCGCTTACGCGAGAGAACATTGAAGAAGACGCCGAGCGACTCAAGAACGCAAGCGCGGATGACAAATGTGCCGCTGTGGTCCGTCCGCACTTCGCCCCTGACTATTTTGAGTACTGAGGTCGTTGCGATACTCTCAGAGTTTCAAGTATCGGTTTCTTTTTTTTTTTTTTTTGAAATTAGTAGCCGAGGTGCCGATATTAATAAACGATAATATCGAAAGAAACACCCAAGAATAAGACAAATCGTGTCATCTGTACAAATGATATCAAATTTTACTTCGAGTCTTGATGATTCGTGATGGCGCTTCAATGAGTATTGCTAACTAACAATGTTGTAAATGAAAACTCATGAAATCTATTTGTTTAAACAGGAAAGTAAATTGAAGAAAGATTCGAAGGAGAATTCGGGTTTTTGTGACAAAATACGCACTTTAGAATCTAATAGTTTCCTCACAGCACCAAGAAGTGCGAGTATCGATTTTTGATGTTCGATATTATCGACATGTTGACACGTTTCTCTCGTATGTGATGAGTGTCGCAAGGTATCTCTGCAGCGCCGGTGCCCAAGGTGAGGGGCGCGCAAACCCGCGGGCAGCTGCCCAGACGCGCCGCTATCGCCGCCGCTCCTGCGCCCAGAAAGGCGGCACGGCATGCGTCACATCGCGTCGCATCGCGTCGCATCGCGTCGCATCGCGTCGCGTCGCATCTGGCACAGTTGTGGACAACGTGCGCGAGCGTGCGACCTCCTAGGCTCGCAGGAGTCCACTGCTTCCTGCCAGCCACACTCTGCGACACCTCCCTGCTCTCTCTCTCTCTCTCTCTCTCCTTCTTCTGCCCCTTCTCAGCCTGTATCCCCCTCTCTCTTGCTCTCTCACTCCCTTCTTCTTACACTTCTTGTCTCTGCACTTCTTTCCCCCTCTCCTTCTCTCTTACCCTGTCTTTCTCTCTCTATTCTTTCACCCCTTTCTTTCTTTTGCCCACCCTTTCTCTCGTCCTTTCTGTCTCTCACCTACTCTTTCTCTCCTACTTCGCTCTCCTCACTGTCTCTCCCCTCTAATTGTATTTTCTCTCTTGATTTCTCTCCTATCTCCCCCTCATTGTCTTAGGGACCGCCAACCAGCGCTGCAGAATCGATGCAACTGAATGTGAATACTCGTGCTTTATTCCTTTTTCTCTTTCTTTTGAGATATTTCGACGTTCTCGCCTTCCTCCCCCGACACATTCTCCGGACGCATGTTGCGACAGATGGAAAAGATTTACGAGTTTTCAAAATTACCGGTATTTTCCTTTCAAAATATCAGTATATTGATAATGAGTACTTATTTCAATGTATTCGTTTATCGTATTTTATAAAAAGGAATTCAATAAAATTAATTTCAAATCTAATAAGAATATTATAATGGGGAAACTCAATGAATTATAGCGCAGAGAGCACAGAGGTTTTTAATATGCATTGTTTGGTATCAGAATCATGTCTTTGTTTATTTAAAATTCTGGGTTTGTAGAGTCACTGTAAACTTTACTTCTTCCTCCTTTTTATCTATTTGCAGTACCCTTAAGACAGGAACAAGTGATTGAATAATCTTTGTATTTTATTCTATAGTGATCCGAGTCAAGCGTTAGTCATTGTTATTTTCTAATATCCATATATTAAAGTTTTGAAATATTTTGCCTTTCAGTCGAGTTTAGCCTCCCGCAATCCCATTGTACGCCTTCGTCGCGTTGCGAAGGTCCCACGACCTCTTCGTTCTTGCATCCAACAGCTCACGGACCTATGGTCAGGAAGCAACAGAGGTACTACTGAATAATGCAGTTTGCAAAGTGCTTTAGAGACTCTGCTTGCTCATTTTACGCTGGTCGTTCCACGTCGATTTTGCTTTTGCAAACTGCGCCGGATGAAGTTGGGAGTGGGTTGCGACGCAATGCCGAACGGCTTGTGTCGAAGGGCTGCAGAAAGGTGTCCGCTGCGAATGGTTGAAGGGCAGGAAGCCAGTTTCAATTACAGAACGTCGACTCAGATATTTTATGTGAGAGAACACTGCATCCAATGTGTCACGTTGCCCACGACATATTAGAATGTTTGGCATTAACTTCCTAGCCCATGTCTTGTTCGTCCTTGTACGTTACTGATAAAAAGCAGCACTCATTAACTAAATGAGATTTTAGGTAACTATTGTTGAAATGAATATTGCAATCTATTAATAATTTGCTTGCAGTTGTGTAATATGAAATGAATATCAGTGTTTGAGTTACAAACCTTTTCTACGGATTTCGCAGTATCTTGGTTATTTACCGCCTTTCGCGTTTCTGCAAGTGAATGTGAATATCACAGTACTCACTGTTCTCTCGTTCATTGAGGAAAGGAATTTACTGAACTGGATGACTGAAAAATAATCAGCGTCTTTGGGAAAGCGTGTGTAGTGTCCTCACTAACTCATTCAGAAGGGCCATGACAGAAACCAATTTTGTTAAATATTTCATGTTATTCATCTTCAATATTAACGGCGTTTTTTGAGAAACTGGGCTTAGATAAAGAGAAGACATTTACGTGCGCAGCATAGAGAATGAGTCGTATTTCTGATTCCGTTCAACGCAGCTTCGAGGGGGGAACGTTTCTTCCAAGGAAGGAACGAAGCATTGAGCACATGTCACCGGCCTTTCTGTGGATGAAGTGCGAAAGAGAGGTTCCAGTAGAAAATGGCAAGCGCAATGTCTCTAGAAATAATGGCGCACCGTAAATGTGTGAACGTGTGCGCACGATGTGGAGAGCGGAATTCTGACCGACTCGACCTCATCCGATCCGATCGGTTCCGATGCGAGACGACTGGACTCGACTTGCTTCAGTTGGACCAGACTAGACACAACTTTTTACATTTTCCGACCATGCGTAACCGAACTGAAGTGAGTTTACACGACCCGACCCGACCCGACCCGACGCAACCGGATCCAATTCCTTGGAATTAGACTTTACCTAATCCCACCCGACAAAACCGCTGTCGCGCGAAGCGAGGCGCGTTGAATTCGTCCAGCAAGACTGCCTAACGATGTCGCTCGGAGAGGATTCAAGACCCCATTCCTATTAAGGAATATAAAATTATTTTTCAAAAGAAAGTAAAATTTCAGGTGTAAAACTGTGTACTCCCATACACCATGTAACTCGCTTTCAACGTAAGGAACAAGTCATTTCCGGATGCGTCTATGCAATTTCCGTTATTATGTTGCATTCGCCATCAACATAAGTCAAAAAGTTATTGTGATAGCGGTATCTCTCCAATTGTTTATTCATTTTAGGGCATTTAAAGAAAGCATTTTACAACTACAGTTTACCTCTTTATTTCATCCTTCAAAATATTTTTTAAATTCCTCACCCGAAATAATCTATCGAGCGGTTTTGTCACACAAAACCAAGAGAAAGAAATGAGAAAATGGATGCTGCTTAACTTTCATTTGACATGGCTGCACCAGATCTACTCTCCAGTGAAATATCCCGCATTTGCGATAGTTCGTTCATGGGATAACTTCATTTTGAAAGCTGGTTTCAACTTCCTATGAGGAAGACTCAGCGTGTGCAACACATGCAAAAGTCGTGTCACACACACGTAACAAATGAATTCTTGGAGACTTATATGTTGTGTTCTTCAAGTGTTGTTTAGGTTTCTAGCGGCGTACCCTGCGTGTAAAAGCGCACGAGTGGCCTTAAATAAAAATTAAATTTCCTTGTTTGCTTTTCTTAACAACCAGTGCTTAATTTCGTTGTTCACGTTGCTCTGCTATTCATTTGTCGTTTTGTAGTTATTTTAATAAGTAGAAAATTATTTGTGATGATTGTAAAAACGTTAGTTTTGAAAGGTAAATCTCTCTACAAATATTCGCATCTGCGATTTGACAGAGTCATTTTATCGCAGGAGGCTCTAGTTACAACAGCGCACGCAACAATGTAAAATGGTTTTAGCTCCATCGCGCTATAACCGTTCTTGTTCGATAGCCTCCTCGCTGAATACTTAGTGCAGTTAATTGTAGGATGATTGCATACAATCCGCTTTTTTTCATTACATACTAAAATTTAATGTTTGCATTATTTTGATAAGTAAGTTAATTTTGTCAATTCATTTGTTTATTTTACAATGCTTTTGTAAAAAATTGAGTTAAACTTGAAATCTATGTGCAGAATCCTACAGAACAACTGCACTGAGAATTTCGAATAATTATCAAGCTACGCTTGGTAACTGAAGTGTTCTCTACTGTTTCTAGTCTTTATGAATCCAAACGTTAAGGTGTGCCGCCATTCTCCAGAGGTCCACATCCTCTCTCGTATTGCTGGCTCCGTATGCCCCATCCCTCCCCCTGCCATATTCCCTGTCGGAATTCTTCAAACTTATCCTCAGTGTTCTCGAAGATGAGGTTGTACATGTTTTATACATCACAGGGTATAGTGGACACCACTATCAGGGCAAAAGATTAGAACTATATTGTCTCCCGCAAGTCCGGAAGAGATAGAAAAGAGTTTCTGGTCAAACGGT